GTGTCTGCCTTTGTGAAGGCCGTCTGGGAGTGTTTTGTGCACGGCAGCGATAGTGAGGCCTAACTCGTTGTGGTTTGCTGTAGTAATTTTAGAGATAACAGAGGTATGAATTGGAAGGTGGCTGCAGAGGAGGGGGGGAGGAATGTACGCAGGCATTTTGGCTGACATAGTGAATAGGGTTGACCTTGTTCCCTCAAGGTACAGTTCTGGTAGGTCTCCCTGGAGTAGAACTGGTTTCCTTATGGTATGGTGCGGCAGTAACTTCACAGTATTTTTCTTGCTGCTGCATTTCCCAGTAGGAATGCTGAAACGTTGATAGTGTTTTATGTTTTTAATCTTGTGCAGTTACCCATTTTTCCTGTTAATGTAACGTTTGGAAAAATTAGCTTCTAAAAAACAAAAAATCACAAGAGCAGTCACTAAGTTCTGAAAAGTATTTCCTGAGTGTGGTGTTGGGGTTTAGTAGAACAACTAGGATGTGTCTCTGAAAATACTTGTCTTGCATAAATAGGATTTCGTAACTAAGCTTCAAAGAAGCGTGGCTTTTTGTAGTGGCAAAACTATTTTGTTTCATTTTTCACTTCTCTGCAGTTGATCTGCAGTGTCTAATGCTGTGGGTCCTCGCTTTTCATTCATGTTCGAAGTTATCTTTGTTCATTGTACTCTTAAATTATATCTGACACTATATAAATTATAAACGGTTGTTAGAATAAGTATACTGATAGTTGGGGTGTCTTTTGGAAAAAGAGATTATATGTAGATATAAAGTATGTGAAACTAGGAGGATTTTGTTTCTTTTACAAGTGACATATGCAGTGTTTATAGAGGAGAGTTGGCAATTTTAATAGCACCTATAGTATATTCAGGCTGATCTTTGCCTGTCCTAGGGAATCCGCTCAGGTTTGTGACCTTGACTAAATGCACTGTCCATAATACTGGCTAATCCTTCAAAGATAGGATTTAAAAACTTTTTTTCTGAAACTGTCTGCCACGTATATTATGCTGTGGGCTCATTTGACTGTATAGTTAGCTGATGGCTGTGTAAATTTGGAACACTTCTTGCTCTTTGGAGGGCAGAAAGTTGATGCAGTGTTGTTTCTCAAAATGGAATTAGTTGCCAAAGTAACTCGAGCCTGTAACTGGATGCCCTTTATGAGCGCATAACGGGTCTTGATGTAACCCATATGTATGAGAAGTTGTATTGTCCTTCTGTTTTTTAAAGGAAGAACCTTGATGTGGGAGATAAGTCTCTGACTGAACTGGGAGACAAATATAGATAGAACAGAGTGAAATTGTATATTAAAAGAGCTAGAGTGTTCTTAAGTTACAATACTTCAGTATTAGTACTGTTTCTATTATGTAGGGCAGCCTAGTCAAGCATGAGGACTAGGTGTAACGTTTTGTCTGAAAACCGAGTAACCAAATAGTAAAGTATGTTTTCCTTGTGCACTTGCAGGAATATTGTGTCTTAACCGTTTAAGCAACCATGCTGGCTGCAAGGCTAGTATGCCTGAGGACGTTACCATGCCAGGCTGTCCGCCCTGCCATTATTCAGGCTTCGCCAGCTTTGAGGAACACCAATATAAAAGCATACAGGCTGTGGCAGCCTAGCCAGGTGAGGTAATTTTTCTAATGTTTCTTATTGCTCATGTATTAAAGGGTCAAATGGCTTTTTTTTTTTCCCCAAAAGAATCACTTTGCAGGTAATCTCTGTTGTGAATGATCATGAGCCTTCCACTTGTTTATGGCCTTTGTGCTCTAAGTGAAGGAAGTGTGTTATTTACTTAATTACAAAAGAGGGGTTTTAAGAGCAATTCAAGTAATGTTTTCTGTTGCCCTGTTAATATTCTTAGAAAAATAACTTAAAGGAGGTAATTAGCAGTGGACAAGCCTCACTAGATAAGGTAAGATGGGTAGGAATTCTTGTCTGATCCCCTGTCTCCCCTCGTTTCCTGTTTCTGAGTAAAAAATCTTAAGTATTGAATTAAAGTACAAACCTTATTTATCTTTAGAGACTTGGTCTCAATATGTGTTTAGAGCTCTAGCCCAGGTTAGAGTCATTTCTAAACTCTGGCAGACCATTTCAGGCCTCGTCTGTGGTGTTGAAAGTTAACTGTTAATCCTAAGAAACGCTGCCTCTTTATTCTTCAGTGAGAGAAGATACTTCGCGTTTGCTGTCTGCACAGATAACTCTCAACTTCGTTCAAAGATTTCCTTCAAAGTTAGTCTTGTTAGTGGACTGTTGCGCTGTGGAGGCATTGCTCTTTTGTCATTAACTTATGGAAAATGTCTTCAGCAAATTCTCTCCTCCTTTCTGTCTCTATCTTATATATGCGTTGTCTTACATATACTTTTTAAAGCATGCTAAGCTTACAGTTGTTTTTTTTTAATTTGAGAGGAATGCTGTGTAATTTTAGTGTTAGAACTAGATGTTGTTAGATAGAAAAACAACAAAGCTGAAGTACATTGCTAGACACCCTGGATTTTATCATAATTGCTGATTGTAACAATGTTTGTAGATTTCCGTTTTTAGTATTAAAACATAAGCTTGCAGCTTGCAGTTAGCCTTCCATTGGTTAGGTGCCTGCATAATGATTTCAGAAACTTCTCAACTTAAAAAGCTATTTCTGAACTTAAATATGAAGTTGTTCTTGGTTGCTCTTGCAGCTTACTAAGAGTTTGATAGAGCAGCATGTTGTAATTGTTTGGAGCGTGTCAGCCTTAAGTCTTCATCTCGTAGGCCTTCACTCAAGTTTTGCTCTCAAATATAGTGCCTATAAATATAACTGTAAATTGGAGTTCATGTCTACTTCTCAGTAGAGAGGGCAAGGGCATGTAGTTTTTGTCTCATAAAAAGACAACATGAAAACTTAAGGCCTTGTTTAGTACTGTTGGGATAGAGTAGAAGAAAAGCAAACATTTGATTGTGGTTTTTAGCTGAACTAAACACTTTGGAAATTCACAGTATTGGTTCTGTACTTTCAGAATGTGTAAATACATAGAACAACTCCTTGCTTACTGACAAAAGCTCTTAAACTTTCATCTTAAACTGTTTTCCTTTAGCACGGTTGTTTCATGTCTTAGGAGATGTGGGCAGATGAGTAAGAGACCAGTGACTTTAAGTGCAGCAAGTGAACGGCAGTATTTCAGTGTGTTGAGAATAAATTGCTTTTCCTCAAAAGTGGTTTGTTGTTTGTAAATATAGCTTATTAGTAAGAAATGCCTTCTCTTTTGTTTCATTGAATCTTTCTAATGTTACCTCTGATCCTTAGTGTTACGCAACGAGAGTAAGAACGGGCATAAGGCGTGGAAAAATTGGCCAAGAAATCAAAGAAGCAGCATTTGAGCCATCTGCAGAAACTGCACTTAAAGGTAGAGTAGCTCTACTTTAAGTACTGCATGTGTTTGAAATTCTTTGAGGGAAACCTTTTCATTCAAACCATTAAATAGACTGAAAAACAACCGTTTGATGTTACGGTTTGCTAGTGACATCTCAAATGTCTGGATTCAGTTTGTCTGCTTGTCTTTTCTTGTGATGTTGACAGCTGCAAATACCGCGTGTTATAGAGAAGTTTCCTGTTGTCTCTGCTTTGAGCTTTTGTTGAGAACGGTTTTCTTTCGGTGGTTCACAAAGGGATTGTTTAAAGAGTAGTGTTCTGCAAAATAAATTTGCAAATCTTCTGCAATAGAGTTGAATCAATAAATAGCATTTATTTAAATTCACTAGATGAAAATTCTCTCTAGCACATGAGAAAAACTATAGTCTTAAGAATTATACAGCTGAAAGTGTTTTGTCGCAACTCTTACTTCAGTTATACCAACATCGGATGGCGTTTTTAATGGTAGCCATAATCTGATGCCTGTGGTTCACAGGCATCAGAATCAAACAGTAGAAGCTGATAGGGAACATGCATTGTTCCCTGTGGGCTTTGGAAATCATTTTTTTGAACTGATTTGGATCTCTTTGTTACCAAAGAGCTCTTGAGGGAGCAAACATTAAGGGCGGATAAATGAGAGCAAAAGGGACAGAGGTCCAGTTTTTCTACTGGAGAACTTATTGACTAGCGTTATGTTGGGATGCTTGTCTACTGTGATGACGGTCAATAAACTTTGTGACTGGCTGGTCTCCTGTTCCTTATTCTGTTTTGTGAAGCTATATTGTGTTGGCAAGCTATCTAGGCTGTTTCAAATCCAGGGGGGGTATGTGTGGTGTTGGTTTTTTTTTTGTTGGGTTTTTTTTTTTTTTTAGAACTGGTAACATGATGGCTTGAATAACTACTGAAGTGAAGCTTTGAGAAGCCTACCTTGGATCAGTTATCACAGCTATAACTAAATTAATATTCAAAAAATGCTTTTAATTACAGGAAGAACCGTTCATGAGAGCATGAATTTTTTTTTGTACAGCTGATCGCCTGGGAAGATTAGTTGTTGCTGGGGGGGCTGCTGTTGGCCTGGGAGCTCTATGTTACTATGGAATGGGCATGTCCAGTGAGATTGGAGCTATTGAAAAAGCTGTGTAAGTAAGATGATTTCTTTTAAGTAAAGACTACATGAAATGACACTCTCCCACGCTTATATCTGCCTTCTCTGTTTAGTTTCCTCCAGTATACATATAGCTTCTCCCCCCCCCCCCCACCCCTCTCCAAAAAGACCCCCCCCT